GAGATGGAGAGAGACGGAGAGAGAGGGGGAGAGAGATGGAGGGGAAGAGAGGGGAAGAGAGGGGAGAAGAGAGGAGAGAGAGGGGAGAGAGACTGACTGACTGACTGACTGACTGACTGAGAAACTGACTGATTGTTTGATTGACTGATTGATTGAGAGATTGATTGATTGAGAGGTTGATTGATTGAGAGATTGATTGATTGAGAGATTGATTGATTGATTGAGAGATTCCCTGTTACAACATTCTTAGCACCAAAGTCTTATGTAATGGGTAAAGTAGTACTTAGTACTTAGAAATGAAACTCCTATGTACTATTTCTTTCATAGTACAGCTTTCATTGCAATTGCTGGAAGACGTGATGCTGGTCCTAGGGCCTCATATGAACTGGCAGGAGATGCTGTGCCCAGCTCCTCTGTCGGTGTGTCTTCTGGGTCAGTTGGTGCTCGTCACTCTGGACAAGGACGTCTCTCTGGTGTCAGAACACATGGACAGATCCGCCTTCAAATATACCAAGTACCCTGATTCACTGAGAACAAGCATAGTTCAGGTCGCCAACCAGGGATGGACTTCCTTCAACTGTGCCAACAAGAACATGGACCAGATCCGTCTCCTTACCCTGCAGATACCTCTCCATGTCAAGAACGCTGTGAAGGTATTCATGAACAGCATACAAACCGAATAGCAAAAGAAAAAACAATGTCTTTAGCTGACTAATCTGCTTGTCATAGCATACACTATTTCATTTGACATGTTTATCTTATGCTTATTATGAGATTCTGTCGGAATGTGACTTAAAACTGTCACGCGCCGAGACGTTGGCCACGACCTTGACATTACATCATGGATTTGCCTTAGTTTACATAACTGGAGGCCAAATGATAATGTTGATCACCTGCATTTGTGATCTGCTCTCTTAAATTGTCTTGCCATGAAAACCGATACAAGGAAACGTTTCTGTTTCCATACAATGGTGACAAACTTTCCCTCCCGTTCTCTCTGTGCCTTTTTTCGTAAATGCACTTGTTTTGGTACAGTTAGTTGCGAATAATTCTTATCAGATGAATGCGACCAGGATGCCGAACCTATTTCTTATCATTCCTGCAATCACTTATATTATCTCTAAAGTATCCCAAGACACACACTCTTCAAATAGCATAGACATTGTACCTTGTGATCGTATAATCTTTGCAGTTTATCATCGCTGGATCCGATGAGGAAATTCAAGAATTGGTTCCAGATATTTTGGCAAACATCAAAAGGATTACTGAGACCTGTAAGTCAAGAGCTGAGGAAGTTGAAACACAGTTTTCTGGCGTTATGGCTTTGATAGGCGAACTGCAAGAGGCGTGTACAATTTCAAAAGGGGAATATGACGACAAGATTAGAAAAGCCAAAAAGGACATAAAAGTGAAATCAACACGAAAGGGTACATTAGAAAACAGGAAACAGCAAGCTGAAAAGGAGTATAACGAAATGAGAGAACAGTTCCAAAAAGCTCAAGAGTCATATGAAAAGGCCATGGACTCTATGCCCTCTGGATGGGAAATGCTTGGAATGGATGTCGTGGAAGAAGTAGCCAAATGTGCTGTCACAACAGTGCAGAGTGTGACAAGCATGTACATGATGAAATCCGTTGGTGGTATCCCCTTTGGAAATTACGGGGTTTGCACAGCGTCTAAGAAATCAAAAACAGGAAAGTGTGCAGATGCTCTCATGTTGGAACTTCCTAGACTTTCGCACTGCATCCAGGACATCTTGGACAATTTCAACTTGCTTTCTGAGGGGAAAGAACCCGGGGACCTGACACTGATCGAGTCAACATTAAGTGACATCATTAGTTCTCTCTCATCTTACTCAGGAGTATGTAGAGACAGATTCGATGGAAGGAGGATGCGTCTCAACTGATTAAGACTTTGAAGGATGCCAGCAAGCAACTGTCAGGCGGGGAACAGCAAATAGAGAGAGCGAGAGTAGTGGCGGGAAGGCTAAATGCAAAGATGCAAGGTTTAAAATTCTTTTGTGAAACTGCATTTGGAGCAAAGCCATTCGAAATGCCGACCCCAAAGATGTCTACATATGAGCAAGGACAATCTGCCTCTGCCTCTTCAAGACACAGTGCACAGGCCAGATTTAAGGTCGAACAAGCTTCGTCTACCCTTGAGACCGTTAGAGATGACTTCCGTGATAAAAGCGAGAAACTAGATAAAGTCAGCGAAGACATCACAGCCATTATCACCGATCTTGCACGGATCAAGCTGGACAAGGTAGACTTTGACCAGATCAAAGCGTTATTGCAGAGAGGTATCAAGGCTATTGGGGAAGTCAGAACCCAATGGGGAAAATTGGTGGGATTTTTCCAAACAATATCCAACATCATTAAGTATAGCATGAATGAGAATGTCAAGAATTTTATCCAAAGTGCTGAGAAGGGGAAACAGTTTCGCCTGAAGTACACCATGTCGGACATGCTGAGAGATATGATCTATGTACAAGCCACCCACGCCAACACCTTAACCTACATGGTAAACAACCTCGCCGAGATGTACGTTGAAGTCTCACAGAAGCACCTGATGGATCAAGTTGCAAGTCTGGGGGAGTTGCTTGGACTGGATCCGGAAAAGGACAAGGCTGAAATTTCGAGAAGACAGACAGAACTGGAAACACAAGCAAAAGACGCCACTGCTTCAATTGCTGTTTTAGTTCAACAGAAGCAGAGAGAATTTGATACAAAGGTGAAGAGCAGAATACAGAGAATTGAAACCGAGATGAAAGCAGTTCTTCCTCCACCTGGACCGACAGACAAAGAAGTCGAGAAGGAGAAGAGGAAGGCTATCCAAGAGGCCAAGGAACTGAAGGCAAAGCTGAAGGCTGAGGATGTCGATGACTGGGTGTGACTGTCATCTGTCATTACGACGTCATTACGCTAGTTTAACGTGGTAGCCCACAACTTCTGTAAACTGAAATACTCTACTGTTGCGGGTTATGGATTTTATAGTGCTTCCTTCAATACCAGCGTCATTCAATTTATGCATACTATTCTTATTCTTTTTTTTTTTTTAAATTGCTTGAAAACCTGTTTACTCAGTCCTCCCTCATCAACGAGAAATAATAACCACGGTTGGGAGTTATGACAACAGACTTGCAAATGGCTGTAGACTCCATATATAGACGCTTCTTTGTATTCTGCCATGCCGAGGCCTTGCTTATGCTGAAGATAAACTAAGTTTTATTGATCTATGACAGCTATTCCCAGCACTGGAGAGAATGTTTCGCGACTCATCTAACCAAACCACCATCAACTGAAACCTGTGTATGGCCTTCAGCAACCGACGATATCCGTAGTATTGGATGTCTTAGTAAATTACTTTGTATGGTACAAAACATAAGAGGCTAAACTCTGTCGCCGTTTATAATAGTATATGAGCTAAGGGCCTAAGGTACGGAATATTACTTAGGCCCAAAACAGGCAGTATATTATACCTGCCTGTTCAACTATCGGTGGATGTTAATCAACATAAGTGTACCGTTTGAACTAGGACGTTTATCACTGCAGGTATGTTAACAAACACATGGCCATGTTGTATAACTCGCTTGTGAGAGTCACAATAACTCCAGCCTGACAACTGTGGCACTTAACATGTTTTTATGCTATGCTTTCCAAATAAACTCATTTCTTTATATCATTGTTGACTACTTGTACAAATATCATCGCCTGTTTTATACACTATATAAGCAAATATAACCCCTTAAACCTACGTACTGCCTCTTGGTGTAATTGAAAGTGAAAGAGCATCGGCCTGGGGATCGTTCCAGTTTTGCGAAGCCATACCATGCTCGTTCACCAAAGTGGCATCACTTCGGACTTTCCTTACACATCAAGCAGGCACAACGTAAATAACAGAAATACTATTCAAAGGGGCGTAAAAACTATAACTCTCATGCAGTCCAAAGACAATCCCTTCATGTAATCTGATAAGAAAAGACACCCCTATTCCAGGTACTATAGCTGTAGACCAGATAACTAATTTGGATCGGAGCCAGGTATCGATATGGAATGGACTTTTACTTTAACCACTCAGAATCAAGCATTCTGCAGTGTCTTGTTAGAAGACTTTACTAAACTAGGTTCATCACGCTTATAGCGAACTGACGCATGTGCTTGGGGCGGTGGGGTGGCCTTTTGGTTAAAGCGTTCGCTCGTCACGCCGAAGACCCGGGTTCGATTCCCCGCATTGGTACAATGTGTTAAGCCCATTTCTGGTGTCCCCCCGCCGTGGTATTGCTGGAATATTGCTAAAAGAAGCGTAAAGATAAACTCACTTACTCACGCACTCAAAGGCTGGTAAGAAAGATGTGGGGTTTCAAGTCTAGTTGCCATGTGTCATGTGTCATCTACTATTCCACGTGTATATTTTGTTAGATAAGTTTAAACATATTTCATTCACTAAGTGAAAAGGATCGGGAACAAGTTCGAACTTATAAACCCGTCTCAAAGATATTTACATTAACAAATGACATCACAAACAGCAACTACAGATTGCCGTGATATAGAGTTTCTATAATATTCAATAATAAACAACAATATACAAAATAATGCTTGTTTCGCTAAGATTACATGTCACTCGCCAACAAGAGGAAGTATGTTTTGAACGGTAGTGTTCATGTCTAAAAGAGTTAGAGTTGCGACCCTTGGCTGGCAGTTTAGAATGGTCGACGGAAGTTGAGGTTGAGGACGACGGCAGCCATGTTTTTTGTAGTAAACAACCAATGTTCCCAGTGCGGAGACAACGCTCACACACATGCAGAAGTCGGACGGCAATACTTCATCTTTGACATGGTCGTTGGTGACCATATCGTTGGTATACACATACACATAGATCCGCCGACGTGGTGATCAGACAGATTTCCGTGCACTTTGGGCACAATAAGGGCTTTTGAATAAATGAATGTAAAAATAAACTCAACACATGCACACATTACAGTATTTATGTTTTGTTATTTATATTCCACGACATGCTCCAGCTGTGAAGCTAAGGACAGCTTGACCGCCTGGTCCGAGAGTACAGGTCAAAGGTGAGGATACACCGTCCACGTTGAACCAGAACTTGACAGTTTCGTAGGCAGCTCCGGTGAGACTGAGGGTGATGTCGTCTGCAACGTTGATGTCCGTCACTCTCTGCGGCGACATCGGCACCCATTTGTCCAGCTCACCCTGGATTAGCACTTGTTTGCTGAAGACAGATAATATGGAATATGGACGGTAGTAAAGCCTTGTGGTTAAAGCGTTAGCTCGTCACACCGAAAGTCCAGGTTCTATTCCCCACGGGTACAATGTGTGAAATCCATTTCTTGTGCTCCAAACCATATTATTGCTGGAAAATGCGTAAAACCATACTCACTCACTCACTCTCGAGCAATTCCCAATGTGTCTAACACTATCCCCAGCAAAGACAAAGAACAATCTGGGTCTCAAACACTATCCCCAGCCAAGACCCAGAATATCTGTGTCACGAATAATATCCCCAGCCTAGACCCAGAACAATCTGGGTCTCAAACACTATCCCCAGCCAAGACCCAGAATAACTGTGTCACGAATAATATCCCCAGCCAAGACCCAGAATAACTGTGTCACGAAGAATATCCCCAGCCAGGAGCCAGAACAATCTGGGTCTCAAACACTATCCCCACCCAAGACCAAGAATAACTGTGTCACGAATAATATCCCCAGCCAAGACCCAGAATAACTGTGTCACGAATAATATCCCCAGCCAAGACCCAGAAAAACTGTGTCACGAATAATATCCCGAGCCAAGACCCAGAATAACTGTGTCACGAAGAATATCCCCACCCAAGACCCAGAAAAACTGTGTCACGAATAATATCCCAAGCCAAGACCCAGAAAAACTGTCACGAATAATATCCCCAGCCAGGACCCAGAAAAACTGTGTCATGAGTAATATCCCCTGCCAAGACCCAGAATAACTGTGTCACGAATAAAATCCCCAGCCAAGACCCAGAATAACTGTGTCACGAATAATATCCCTAGCCAAGACCCAGAATATATTTGTCTCAAACAATATCCCCAGGTGGGTGAAATGGGGTTTAACGTCGTACGTATGAATATTTCGCTCATATGACGACATGCATACGTATGTATGTGTGACTGCTTGTACTAGCCCAGACTTAAGTTGGTTTTATAGTGCAAGCTCACTGAGATAGCATGCCGCAGTTAAGCATGAATACCCCACTCAGACACATTATACTGACTCCGAGCCGACCAATCGTTGTTACGTCCATTAATGCTCAGCGCCAGGCAGGGACCAACAAGTACCATATCTTAACGTCTCTTGGGTATGAGACGGCCGGGGATCCAACCCGTGAATAATTTGTGTCTCGAATAATATCCCCATGAAAGACCCAGAATATCTGTCTCGAACACTATGCCCAGCCAAGACCAAGAATTCCTGTGTCTCGAACACTATCCCCAGCCAAGATCCAGAATGTATGTGTCTCGAACACAACCCCAAGTCTCAAATACAATCCCCAGCCAAGACCAAGAATATCACTCTTTCCAAAAAATATAACTACAATATTTCAGTATCAAACATTACTCTGTCATGACCAACCATGACGAGAATATCTGTCTCGAACAAAAGTCCAACCATGGCTCAGAATATTTGTCTCGAACAATAAGCTCAAGCATGACCCAGAATATCTGTCTCGAATATTACCCCAGCCAAGACCCAGAAATATCTGTCTCGAACAATAAGCCCAGCTAAGACCCAGAATATCAACTGTTGCCTTAGTTGTGGTGTAGTAAAACACATACCCATTGACCTTGAGTACCGGCGATACATAGAAGAGACAGAAGTCAACAGTGGTGCAGCCACTCATAGTCAGAGGTTGGGGATCCGTCAGAGGTTGGATCTTGTTGGGATCATTGGCAGGGAACACCATCGAGTTGGGAAACTAGAAATACAACATTGACAACGTTCATCTTAAAGGGGCACAACACCCGGGCGAACTGGCAGTCCAGGCAAGTTTAGTTCAATTCATCCATCTATTTTGAGAACAATTATACAAAACAGTAGTACAATAATTTGGCATTTCTCACCCCTTGGTATCCTGCCATGCATGGCGTCATGGTGTAGCTTCCCACTTGATCAGCGGCCAGGATGATGCCGTACTTGTTCTCACCCCCAAAATCTGAATACGTGGACCACACCTCCCCGTCTGGACCCTCAAAGTCCGACCAGGCAAGCTGGGGAAATATGACGTGCATGAAATATGACGCTATGAAGGGCATTTCGTACCTTTTCATATTGTTTTATAGATTTTCAGAGCATATAACATTACTTAGTTCTTAGATAGTTCGCTAAAATATCAAAGGCAACGACAGCACGTTTTGCGTAGATCGCTGCTCATGTTGTTGATGACTGTATTGACGTCACGCTTCACGTCAGTTGTCACTGCCTCATGCAGTCTCTTCCAGTGCAACTAACTCGGTTAGCACTCCTCGTGCTTTAACTATAACAGTTCAGGGCAAAACTGTAGAACCACTTTAATGCACTATATATGGTGAAAAAAGCGAACTGTATTTGTTTATTAGGAAGCACCTTTCGTAGCATGTTATCAATTGCGGTCGCTGGTCGTGACGGCTTTAAGATGAGGCCGTCAGCATTGACAGATCTGTTGAAAGAATGTGAAAATACATTAAAGATAGCATCTGTTAAGTTTGGCCAGAACATTTCAAAACATTACTCGACACAACTAAGCTGATGTTCTAAGCGGCGCTGCAAATTGCAGAAAGCGTGTTCCAGCCTAAAACGAGGAGAACATTTCATTTGAAAGAAAAGGTATGGTATGGTTATGTGTATTTGTCACACGTTAAAATGTTACCTGGATGATATCTTTGTTATCATATGACAGATAAACAAAGGAGGTTAGTATGAGGGATACAGCGTGACAGATAGTTTCCGTATTAGCGTGAGCTTTTAGAATCCTGCATTCTGATTTGCCCACCTGTCGAATCAACGTTACACGATATTTTGGCTTATGACTCAATGATAATTGTGAGTATAGTTTATGTGGACTGTCAACATTTCTTATTGGAAGTTTATTAAGTAACTTTGTGATGACTGCTAACAAGCTTCGCAAAGACCGTCAACCTACTTAGTGATGATTGTCAACCTACTTCATGATGACTATCAAAGGACTTGATGAGGACTGTCAACCAAATTCATGATGATTGTCAACCTACTTCGTGATGGTTGTCAACCTACTTCATGATGACTATCAAAGGACTTGATGAGGACTGTCAACCTAATTCATGATGATTGTCAACCTACTTCGTGATGGTTGTCAACATACTTCATGGTGACTATCAAAGGACTTGATGAGGACTGACAACCTAATTCATGATGATTGTCAACCTACTTAGTGATGATTGTCAACCTACTTCATGATGACTATCAAAGGACTTGATGAGGACTGACAACCTAATTCATGATGATTGTCAACCTACTTCGTGATGATTGTCAACCTACTTCATGACGAGTGTCTTGTTCATATACCCCACCATGTCGCTGACCCCTACTGGACCTGTACTGAGGGTTGCTATTGCAGAGTTCAAGGTCGTGAACGGTTCTGTGGCACCATCTGAAACAAAACACGTTTAAACCAGATAGAACTTGTATATATCAGCCTACGGAAGACAGACTGGATGACTTGTCTTGATTGCATGTCACCGTACAACCAGGGCGTACATCGTTGCTCGAAATGACTATTCTGCCTGGTCCAAATTTCATTATTTATAGGGGCAGGTAAATCTATGAGTGCCTCGCATATACACGAACAAACAAAGCAGAGATGAACTTTTAATAAAGCATCATTGTTGATTGACAACGCTCTACATACGGTATGGGTTTCCAGGCTGAACGCTGGTTGTCCAGAAGTTGTCCTTGAATGGCGCAACGCCGAGAGCCCACGCAAACAGTGACGTAATCCCCACCTTCCAGTTGGCGGTGCCGGGGATGTAGTCACCACTGGCACGGGCCTGGAAGATGCAGTGTACATGTGACAAGTATCAAACATACTTCTTAGGTTTCAACTCACACAGCCACGCAGTGATGACTTGAAATTTCACTACTCCTTTTGCATATCGGGTGAGGGAGATATACGTAAAATGAAATTCACAAATTGTACATATGCTAGGAACTGAACCCGGTCGTCTGTGTGACGAGCAAACACTTCAACCACAAGGCTACACCGCCGACCATATTGACATCAGAGCAGTCTGTGGGAATGGAAATCATTCAGATTGACAAAGAGTACGTCATAATTATTGATGTATCACACTTCACAACGGATACAGTAAGTGGGTGACTGTAGTTTCATGCCGCAATATTCAGCAATATCATGTTCCCCTTCACTGTACCTGTGTGACCGTGAAGATCCGGGTTAGAATTGATCTTCAGCAACCTATGCGACTAACGGGATCGGGTGGTCAGGCTAACTGACTTGGTTGACACATGTCATCGTATCCCAGTTGTGTAGATCGATGCTCATGCTGTTAATCACTGGATTGTCTGGTCCAGACCGCCGCCATATAGCTGGAATACTGCTGAGTGCGGCGTTAAACAACAAACCAACCACCCTGTCCTTTCACTGTACCTGTGTAACAACGGGTATTTCCAATGCCTGCATCATGTGACGTGGCAACGACATACAGTACTGAAGAGTCAGGCCATTCTTGGCGGCGCCATTGCCCATCTGAAGCAGCCATTGTCGGCCCAGGTCGATGTCGCTCCACACCTTATGAAGTTCTTCAAATTGAACATTCATAAAATCCTAGAAAACAAAGTGTCATTAATATACTTTGGTGCTTGATGTGGGTTCACTTTCATACACCTGACAAAGGTTTTCAAGGTCATCTGCCTTTGGCCGCTCTTTCTTTCTAATTTAAAGTGACATTTTAAGAATTTTGGGTAAATATTGGTACATGCACTTCAGTGGAGATAAATTCTTCACAAAATAGTTGTGTGGTGTAGAGTTTTGTATGAGAAGTATTACCTGTTCGTAGACCAACAAGCCCCACTTCCTTGCATCAGCGAGCAAATCATCCCAGAATTTCTGAAAGGTAATGGATGGTTCCTGTAATTAAGACGTTTATGACAAATAGCAGCCTACATTAGTATGTTCCGATTTCTTTGTATGACTGACTGACTCACTGAGTATGGTTTCACGCCGCTTTTAGCAATATTCCAGCAACATCACGGTGGGGGACACCAGAAATGGGCTTCACACATTGTGCCCATGTGGGGATTCGAACCCGGGTCTTCGGCGTGACGTCTTTGTACGAAGGAGAAATGGATAGTTTACTTGTCCATCTAAACCATTGTCTAAATATTTCCCTTGTTATCTGCTGATGGCATAGTTTAATTTACTTATACTACATATGGCTTACAAAAACGTATTAATGTATTAGGATGTTTTTGTGAAAGACATCATTTATCTGTTTACTCAACAACAAAAACATGAAATTTGTAAATAATGGCATTAAGTTATCGAAATATTAGATGTTGTTTCTCAGTGGAAAATCGACTAAAGATTTTACCATTTTCTCCGTTATATTTTCTAAAACCCTATGATGGACATTAACATGTCAACAGTCCACTTTACAATCGAATTGAAATTTTGCCTGATAGGAGGTTTGTAAAATCGATATTACAAGTTATTACTGCTAGGTTGTGTCAATGGAACAACTGAAGGTATTCTACATGTATGGATTTGGCCTTCTGTAGTTCATGTTAGCAGCTTTATGTCAGAATTTCTACACAGAATCAATATATCTTATCAGCATGATTGGCATACAGCCCTCCATAGCAGCTCCAAATACTCATCTCATGTTGCTTTCAAATCATCCTTTGGCGTAGAATCGTATATAAGGAAAATCACTATTTCAAAATTCACTTCGTAATATGTTATATTTGGGATTTCACTTTCTTAGTAAAGTACAGAATCTGTAATTCGTAACATATGTTATATTTGGGATTACACTTTCTTAGTAAAGTACAGAATCTGTACTTTACACAATATGTACAGAATCTGTACTTTACAAAGAAGGTGTAATCCCAAATATAACATATGTTACATTCGACAACTTTCTAAATGGCATTGTGTATTCATAGATTTCGGCCGTGGAGCCGTGCCAATTTCTACACTTATCAGGGGTACACAGATTCAAGACTACCAGTTGTCCGACTTCCATTTTTGTGGAAGCCGCGGTGGCTGAGCGGGTTAGGCGGCTGACTTTGTGTGCTAGCGATTAGGGTGCCTGACTCTTAGGGTGGGGTTCGAATCCCGGATGGGACTCAACCCAACAAGAGTACTTTATCTGAATCTGTACTTTACTAAGAAAGTGTAATCCCAAATATAATATATGTTACATTTGACCACTTTCTAAATGGTATTGTGAATCTCACTTTCACCCTCGGGTGCAAAATTGTACTGGTAGATATTTTAAGAACCTAAAGCTGATAGATTATGTCTTGTATGCAAACAATGGTATGATGAAGATAAATATCATTTTGGAATAGTGTGTAATTTATACGAAAAATGGAGTTCTTTGTACCTGCCTACAAAATTCTGTTCAAATCCTACTTTACATAAATTTAACATCTTGATTTCAGATGTAAACAAACAAAAATTAAATCCCTAGCAATGTTATTTAATGCAATGCGATGCGACTTAGTCACTGTGTACTTCCTTCACTTAGATCCTGTCTAATTGTCCTGTCATCACTCTCCGCTCGTCATGGGACCCGGGTTAGAATCCCTTCAAGATGGCAGTGGCCTCTTCTGGTGTCCCCGCGTTCGCTCGTCAAAAGCCGTAAGACCAAACTCAGTCAGATTCCCCGCATGGGTACATTGTGTGAAGCCCATTTCTGGTGTCCCCCGCCATGATATTGCTGAGAGCTGGCGTAAAACCATACTCACTCACTCACTACTTCCTTATATTGTCCTTACTTCCATGTTATCACTGTTTTAACACCGCCGATATGTCGAACTCCATAAAATGTATCATTACCTCCTCCAAGGGCAATGATTTTCCACCGTCGATCAGGAAGTCGTACTTCCCTCCATTCGCCTTTGCGTAAGTCGTGTTGCTGGACCTAGGGAAGCCCAAGGAATAATTCATTAACACTTTTCAACGTATAAACAAGAACAAAGTTACATGGTTGAAAGCTTTTAACTTCCATGGAACCCCGTATGTAATTCCAGAGTGACTGGTCACCTGTGACCCACA